TTGGATCATTTAGGCCACTTACTCTCAAGGTTATTACTGATAAGTAATGGCTCAACTTTGCCATTTTTCCATAGACATTCCAACTGTTTGCTTTGGATTTTCCTTATTCCTGTACTAGGTTTCCTGCCTTCATATTCTTTCACAATGATGACCTATCTTTCTATGTTTGTGTATAGCCAATCCCTTAGTATCATTCATCAGACTAAACAAGTACCGACAAATTCTAATATCTGTTTTGAAAGTTCTTTATTTCACCTTCATTTATTAATTGGAACTTTGCAGGGTACAACATTGTTGTTTGATAAAATTTTTTTCCCTTTTAGGACTTGGACTTTGCGTCTCCACTCTCTCCTAATCTGTAAGATTCCTGATGAGAAATCAACTGTCAGTCTAACTAGAGATCCTTTAAAGGCAACCTCGCGTTTCTCAGGAGCACATTTTGGAATCTTTTCCTATGCTTTACTGTGTGACTGTAATGTGTCATGCTAAAAATCTTTCATGGTCATGTCTATTACAGATCTGTGTGCTTCCTGTACTTAGGATATCATTTTATTTTTGCAAATTATGGAAGTTTTCTGCTGTTACTTCACTGATTAGACCTTCTAATTCATTCTATCCTACCACACCTCCAGGACTACCAAGACAAATCATTATGTCCATAAAGCTTGAACATTGCTTTCAGTTTATCTCATTTTTTTGTTTCTATTTCCAAAGATTTGTCTTCTAGTTTGGATATCTTTCTTGTGCTTCAACAAGTCTATTGTAAAGGTTTTCCACTATATTTTTCACTTGGCACATTGAATCCTTCATTTCTAATACTTCAGTTTGATTTCTCTTCAATATCTTAATACTACGGGAAGAATTTTCATACATCTTTAGTATAGATTTTCTTATGCATCCAATTCTCATTGTTTCTGAGTAACCTTATCATTCTTCTGAATTTGTTTCCGGGCATTTCATTGCTCTTTCTCATCATATCCTAATATTGAAACATTGTATTCCTTAGAGACATATGATTTTCCTTTTCCACAAGTCTCATTTTTGTACATTTATTTTTAGGCATTTGTGGAACCACTTACTGATTTTGTCTGATTTTTTTAACCTTTAAACTATGCCTCTGTGGCTTAGTGGCGTGTCTGTTCCCCCAGTGGATATTCAGTCACATGCTAGGTCTGGCCAGAGAGCTCCCGTCAGTGGTTGAGTGGTGGAGGAATCCAGGATGACACCATGTTGGATGTGACAGATCTCTTCTGTGGTCAGCAGGGGGAGGACATTATTGGTATGACCACTGACCGCCACTCTGCCAAGGTGAGCACAGTAGAGCCTGCAGTGGCAACATACAGCATCATGCATTTGAAGGAATTGCACAAAGCATCTGCAGCAGCCTTCATGTGAGCATGGAACTTGAAATGATCAGGCCCTCAGGGAGTGCTGCTTTCCCAGTCCACAGGCAGGGAGCTGGAAGGGAAATGGGGCTGCCAGGATTAGAACCGGCGCCCATATGGGATCCCGGGCGTGCAAGGCGAGGACCTCAACCACTTGTGCCACCGTGCCGGGCCCTACCTTTCCAATTTCTTAATGCAGGCACTAATGTTCTGGATTTTTATCTTCACACTGCTTTTGCTATATCCCCTAAATTATGATTTGTGGTGTTTCCATTTTCATTCATTTCAAGAAATTCCATTTTTTTCTATAACCTGTTATTAATTTAGGATTATGGTTTCAATCTGCATGTACTTACATATTTTCTAGAATTTTTTTGTGTTGCTAATTCCCAGCTTCATTCCATTGTGGTCAGTGAAGATACAAGTTAGTATTTTAATTTTTTTTAATTTGTTAAGACTTGTTTCATATTCTAGCATATGGCCTATCTTAGGGAATATTTCATGTCCTGGTGAAAAGAAAATCTACTCCACAGCTGTGGGATGAAATGTTCTGAAGACATAAGCTTTAAAGATGATTTAGCATTTCTGTCTTGCATATTTTGAATATTCTCTTTGTCGTTTACTTTTGAGTTTAGCCTCAGTGTATCACAGTGAGGATATTTTGTTCTCTGATTTATTCATTTGGAAATCACAGTTCCATTAAGTTAGACAGGGAGAGAGAGAAAGAGATCTCCCAGCCACTGGTTTGTTACTGGGATAGCTTCCATGGCCAGGGCTGGGTCAGGGCAAAGCAAAGAACCCGGAGCTTCCTCTATTAGAGTGGCAAGGGCCTAAACCCTTCATGCCATCCTCTGCTGCTTTTCCTTGGCCGTTAGTAGGGAGTGAGCTGGGTCCATAATGGAGCAGCCAGGACACAAACTGTACCCAAATGAGATGCCTACACCGCAGGCAGCTCACTTGGGGAGTGAATCATTGGACGGAAGATCTTCCTCTCTGTCTCTCCTCTCTGTATATCCGTCTTTCCAATAAAAATTAAAAAAAAAAAAAAAAAAAAACCAATCCTAGGCACTCCATTATGGGCTGCCGGGATCCTGAAAGGTGGCTTAGCTTGCTTTTACATAATGACAGTACTTTTATTTTTTTACTTATTCACTTCCTTCTCTTTCAATATCTTTTTGCTGAATTTTCATACCATACATTGATTTGCTAATTTCATCTAACTTTAGCTATATTTTTTGTATCTGTTGGAAACTTTTCATTATTCATACAATTCCTTATGAAGAACTGTAAGTCAGGCGTCTCCTCCGTCTCCCTTTGTCCATGGTCTGATACTAAAGCACGGTGCTCCTTTGGCGCTGTGCTATTGCCTGGCTTATTAGCCTTTTTGTGTCCTACACTGTTACTTGTGCATCTGAGGAGTTTGTTATTTCTTTCACTTTTACAGGATGATTTCCATGAATTGAGTGTTTCTCCCTGATGATGTGTGCTTTTTGGTATTTATTTTGGTTTCTGTTGCAACCGGACTCTGATAGTCCCTGTGTCGTGAGAGTAGGAGCGGGGAATCTAGGGAGCTCCTCTGGTTGGTCATGGCTGCTGGAATCCCTGATACACAGGTCTGCAGCCATCTCCTGAGGGAGGGACCAGAGTCAGAGGCTTCTCAGGTGCTAGAAGCATGACCTACAGGTATCGCAAGGGAGCCTGGCACACAGGTACCCAGCCACTTGCCAAGTAAAGAGCTGGGGATGTGAGATCAGCATTGGCTCCGTGAGCAGGTTTGGCTCATGGTCTCCCATCCGTGACCAATTTCAGAGCCCCAAGACCAGTGCTAACATGGGGCAGGAGAGGCAGGTGTCCCAAAGAGTAGCTAGATTTGCAAGAGTGGCATTGGCACCAGGACAGAAAAAGCAAGTCCTTTCAGGCTACTCTCCGTTGGCAAGCATTGAGCTGGGCAGGGTGCAGGAAGCCCAGTTCAGAGCTGCCTTGGCAGCTTCTGGGATCGTGTCTGGATCCAAGGCCCGGGGCCTGGATGAGGCACAGAAAATCTGGACCAGAGCCCCCCAAGTGTACAAATGATATGCTGAGCTGGGCACAGCATGGAAGATACATGCCAGAGCCCCAGAAAGTAGGCACACTGGGTTTGATATACCTAGAAAGCCCTGGCAGCTGTGCATGAAAGTGGCAAGAGCCCATGGTGATGTCCAGAGTGATGGGTGGTGTGTAGAAACTCCAGCTACTATAAGTAGGAGGAGTTGGAGCCATGGGGTCCAGAGTTAGATCTGCACTAGTTACACTGCCCAGAGGGAACATACTAACCCACACTTGTTCACACTCCCTACTGTGTGTGAAGGAACCAAACCAAAGCTGGGCAGGGTCACAGCCATCAGTAATGTCTCTAGCATTCCAGGGAGGGAAGGCAGTGGGGAAGCAGATGGTATGCAGGCCCATAGAGGTAGGGATAGGGTCCCAAGGACTGGATATCCCAGCTGCTCTGGAAACACCACATAGAACAGGATGCTTGAGCTGAGCCACCCTTGTGCTGTTGGACTTGGGAGGTCAGACACTTAATGCTGGATGGCAGGACTGTCTGTGGGGTCACTGAGAAAGAGACATGCAGGGGTTTCTGTCCGCACGTGCTGGCCGCCCTCTGACAGCAACTCCCTTCTCTAAGATGGCACCATACTACTACAGCCTGGGCTGCACAGTTGGATCCGGCACCAGGCCTGCCTGAATGAGACTATAGTCAGACAGGACCTTATGGCCCCTGCCCTCTTGAATGAAAGTCTTATGTGTTCTGCCAGGAACTATTTCAAACAGTAAATGCTGAGAAGCTGCATAACCCAACACATGCTTCGAGATAATGCTGACATGGTGGTTCATTCTCTCCAGGGATCGATGAGCTGCAGTGGTTGTGTCTGAAGGGTAACTATGGTTGTCAGTAATCCTTGGAATCTGGTCTCCCATAGTAACAAGACATCTTCTAGCTAAGTCCCACTCCGCAGAGTAACACTGCTGCTGAACAATGTGAATGTCAGACACTGGACTTAGACAAGAGCTGAGAGAAAAAGACCAAAGAAAGTTCTGGAAATCTATAGATGTGCTCTTTGGGAAGGAGGGTTGACTAGAGTGCCCTGTCCACCTCTCTTACCGATCACTCAATCAGCCCCGTGGAACTGGGGCCTCCACTGTTGATGCAAACCACTCCACTGGGGATTACTCATCAGCAGGGTCTTTGGGGAACCGTAGCCAGGGCTCCCAGTCTCTTCTGGGATGAAAACACACTAGCTATTTCCCAGATAGGAAAGCATCAACCACCCTGGGAAGGGACTCATGGAATAATACTCTAAGACCATTTGGTAAAGTTTGACATTCACCATTTCGGAAGTATTTACTTCCTCTGGTAAACCCCAAGAATAGTCAGTTATAAGGAACACATGTCAGTCACACAGAGCGCAGTATCTTAACAGGGGAAGATAATCTGGAGCAAGCTCCAAAGAGATCCATGAAAGAACGTTCAGTGGCCAGTGGCTCACAGCTCCTGGGCCAGCAGCAAACGCAAGACCAGAGGAGTGGCTCGTCTGCCCTGAGGCAAGACACAAATGAGAACCAACACATGTATTGAGTAAAAATGAAGTTTAATCAATATTGAATTCCATTTCATTCAAATTCAGCTGATGTCCTCTGACAGCAGAGAGGAGGTGAGGAAGAGACCCAGCAAGGCTGGCAGGGGACCTGGAACAAGTAACATCCTGTTACTCAGGAAAGCAGTCATGTGGGCACCAGTGGGCGCCAGCTGGAAGGACTCGACCTCCCACACGCACAGCCAAGGAGCAAGGTAAGCAGGGCACCTTCAGGAGGGACGAGAGGACAGGAGGCGGCTGGCTGGGGAAGCTGCTGCCTCACTTGGGGAAGACAGTGACCACGTCGTAGCCCTCTGGGGGTGTGACCCGCTCCCGGGCGTGCTTTTCACAGTAGATCTGGTCCTCCACAAAGAAGTGGCCCTTCTGCTTCAGGTTGGTGCCACAGTCGGAGCACACGTAGCACTCGGGGTGGCGGTGGCGGTCCCGCAGCTTCACAAACATGCCTCTGCAGGAGTGAGGGGCAGAGAGGGTCATCAGGGACGCTGTGAAGAGGCAGGGGTGGTCTCTCTCAAAAATACAGGCCCTCCAGCATAAAGGGGCTTCTCTCTTCTGGGGCCACGGATCGCACTCAGCAGGGCTTGCCCCTTGCCACAGGCTGCCCTATTCACACTGCGTCTACACTTGCAGAACTTGAGGCTTCTGCAGCAAAGGAAAATTCTCACCACCTGCTCCGGGACACACGACCTCCCTGGCCTCTGCTCCACCTGTCCAGGTAGGATTTGCATCTTGCACAGCGCAACGTGCTGCACTTTCCCCCCAGACTGGCTTGAGCCCCTCTTGCCAAGGCTGGGAAGCAGATACTCACACAATGCCAGTGCCACATTTGTCACACATGGGCAACTTCTGAGCAGCGTTTCCAATCGACGCGGCCACTTTGGTGACGGGAGCTTTAACACTTCTGAATCCTGAGGGCTTGTTGGGATCCCCTGCAATGTGGAAAACACTCGTGTTGACCAAGACAGACAGAACCATCTCAAAGCTACCACACAAATGTGAGGGGCAGTAGAGTTCAGCAGATGTATGACTCTGCTGTGTGATCCTGAACAAGCTACTTAGCGTCTCTGGTCCCTCGTTTCACTTTCTATAACACTGGAGAGCATTTGTCCCCTTTCCCAGTATACTTAAGTTGTAGGTCACCCATCCTGTCCAGGGACGCTGTTCAGTGGAGCATGAGCAGAGGCCAGTTCTGCTCTGGCAAAGGCACTCAGCACTCCTGTGTGGTTCGGGCCTGGTTTACGGAGCCTCTGCCCTTTTCCAGCAGAACAGTGAGCCCTAAAGTTCTGTGCTCGTGGCATGAGGCACAGCCCTCTAGAGCCCTCAGTTACCCTCTGCTAACAACAGCAGAACCAGTTTGGGGATCATTTCAGGCTCGTGAAGAGCCACCAGAGGGCGTACTTGCAGGCAACATGACCATACACTAGACCCTTCAAGGGGATTCACGGCTGTTTGTCCAGCTGCTGTCCTGGGGAGCTGGTGAATGCAGAAGTCCGTCTGCCAATACCTGTGTTGGCAGCAGAGATCAGGAAACTACCCTGAGACTCTACAGCTGGGCTCAGGAAGGCTCGGTTCTGCCCGCCCACAGCTGCACCAGCAGCAAGGACGCTGGCGCCCCTTCTACCCCAGAGCCCAAACTTCTTATTTCCTGCTCTTTTCAATCCTTTCTCCCATTCTTGACCACAGAATCAGTTTTGTTCACCATAGATTTTTTCCTCCCCATTAATTTTTTAGATAATACTGTATCAGTTTTTAATCCTTGAGGTTTATTGGTATGCCCTTAAATTCTGTGCCCCAAGCCATGCCTCACTAACCTCACCCTAAGCCTGGCCCTGCCTGAAGGGACTTCAGGTGGTCTGTGTGGGCGCATTCGGCCTCCACAGCCTGCAGCAGCACCGCTCCCTTCCACGGCGACCCTGACCCTGGCACACCACACACAGCCTCCCATCGCCCTTTCAACAAATGGCCTCAGTGAATGCTCGCCAATACCAGGGCTCAGCGAGGCAGATGGCCAAGTGCTTCAGCCGCAGGTGCTCCAAGGACAGCCACGGTCTCATGGGCCAGCCACTTCCCTGACCGCTCCAAGGAAAACAGGCATTAGGGTCCCCTCCCCCCATCCCGTGGCATCTGGACGGGCGCCGGTCGGTCCTGTCGCAGTCATGGAGAAGGTAACGCTGCAATCTAGGGAGAGGTAAGGGGGAGCCATCGAGGCCTGCCATCTCCCTGTCCTGTTTTAGCAGACTCTGAATTCTCTCTGAAGATGACGTGGAACCTAAGTGACTCTGTGGCCGTGTGACAAACCATTGCAGTGGAGTCGGAATGTGGAAATCACAGAAAGACAACGGGTTCATCTCAGAATGTTTCTATCTGCCTTCTTGCTTCCCTCTGCCTGCGAGCCAGCTGCCATGCTGGGCCGCGAAGGAACCTCAGCCTGTGGATGCTCCGTGCTCAGGGTAGGTCCTCCCCTGGGAGCTAGGTCTTAGTGTGGGCAGGGAGCTTTACAGTGAAAGGTCTCACACCCACTTATTCCAAGTCACAACCTCCCGCACATTGGACCAACCTGTCAGCCTCCGGGGTCGGCCCCCAGGTCATCTGTCAAGCCTAATGCTGGAACTTAATGCAGAGGACGGGTCCTACAGCCCCAACTAAAGAGGTGCTCCAAAGAGGGAAATGGCTGTCAGCCAAGTGTCTCATTTAGCATAAAGGAAGCACCTTTTCTCCTTATTTCCTAGAGGTTTAAATGATAACTTTCTCTAAAGGACCAACACAAATGGGGGAGGAAGCAGAGGCTTCCAGTGGAGTCGGCGGGAATCTGCAGTTTCCCTTAAAAGCCGCATCTTCAGTGGGAAGTGAAAGAAGATCACCTACCCAGGGCACACGTAGCCTGACCCTCCCTCTGCAGCCTGCGGGGGCAGCTCGTTCTTTTTTCTCTGGGTCTGTCTGTCTCCTCTCTCATTCTCTCTTTCAATATCTTTTCCCTGTTTCTCCATGTGGCTTCCTCTTTGCTCTTCCAACTACATCTCTCTCTCCCCTACCCCATCTTTTTGTCTCTCTCCCTATCTCTCTATTCTGTCTTTTCTCCCTCTTTGTCTTCTATATTCTTTTTTCTGTTCTTTCTTTTCAGTCTCTGCCTTCTCTCCACCCTGCCTTCAGTCTGTTTTTCCTCTCTTCTCAGATTCTGTGCCTCTCTGGCTGGCTGTCTTTCTCTCTCTCTCAAAAAAAAAGAGAGAGAGAGAGAGAGAAAGGCAGGTCAGATTTACAGAAAAAGATCTTCCATCTAATTATTCCTTCCTCAAGTGGCCACAACCAACCAGTCAGGCTGCTCTGAAGCCAGGAGCCTCTTCCGGGTCTCCCACATGGGTGCAGGGTCCCAAGGCTTTGGGCCGTCCTCCACTGCTTTCGCAGGCCACAAGCAGGGAGCTGGATGGGAAGCTGGGAAGTAGAGCAACTGGGACACGAGCCAGCACTCCGAAGAGGGATCCTGGTGCTCGCAAGGTGAGGATTCAGCCACTGAGCCATCTCTCCTGGTCCATTAACTTCCTTCTTTCCTCTCTCATCTATTCTCTGTCCTGATGCTCCTCCCCGTCTCAGTCGCTGTCTGTGTGTCTGCTCTCTCCTCTCCCCCTTCCCTCACTATCTGCCCCCCTTTGTGCATCCCTTCCTGTCTGACGCTCTTCTCTTCTTTGTATTTTCTTTCAGCCTTTTTCCCTGTGACTTTTTATCTTCTGTTTCTTCTCTGTCCATATTTGTCTTACAGACTCTTCTGCCTTGCTCCTCTCACTTCTTATTCTGTCTCTTTCAGTCTGTTTCTCTCTTCTCTTCATCCTGTCTCTCTCACCATCACCTCCCTCTGCTAGTTGTCTGTTTCCCTTCAGTTTCTCCTCTGTTCCTATCTTCTCTCTTAACCCTCTTCTTTCTCCTCTCTATTCTTTTTCTTCCATCTCCTCTCTCTCTGCCTTCTGCCTTGTCTCTCTCCCCTTTGTCTCCCTTCTGTTTCTTTCCCATCTCCTTATCTCTCTCCTCGTCTCTTCCTCCTTCTCGGATTCCCTCCTCCATGATGCTCTGCTCTCTATTCTTCCTTCTGAGTCTCTTCTCTTATTGTCTGATTCCCTTATCTCTGCCTCACTCCCTTCTCCGTCTCTCCTCCCTAACTCTCTCCTCTCTGACCTGCGTCTCTGAGATCCTGTCTGTCCCCTCTCCCCCACCACCACTTCTCTTTGTCTCTGTCCATCTCTCAGCACAAGGAGGGAAGAAAAAGAACTGTCAATGGCAAGACTCCAGTGAGAGACAGGAGCAAAGGGCTGGCCATCACAGGGACCAGGAAATGTGAATCCTAACTCTCCAGAAAAGTAGACCTTACACCCCCTGGAGACAACAATGAACAGCGAGCCGAATAAGGGAAACTGAGGGAGGGCTGCCACTATGCAGATCCCCTGCGGAAGGAGCAGGAAGCATGCCCTGGATATCAACCTAACACAGGATGATGCAGGGTGACCTTGCACCTGTGAGCCATCAAGTTCATCCCCTGGACAAGCTAAGGCTGACCTGCGCACCCTTGCTGGTGTTTCTATGGATTAGGGACATGTGTGTCCCAGAGCTCGGTGCATCAGGTGGGGGAGACCTGGTGGAAGGCAGGTGTCTGGGAGCGTTACCCTCACTGATGAGGGTTATTAGCAAACAGCAAACCTGAACCCTGCTCCAGCTTCCTATCTTAGGCCACCCTGAGATCTCTTCTGAAAACTCTCCTGCTACTGCCACCCTCATCCCATGCTGGCCCACCAGGGCCACCTGACCTTGGTCTGCCTGCCTCCCAAGCCGTGGCCTAAGGAGGCCTCTTTCCTTGAGAGTAATCAGTTTCAGGCATTTTGTCACCTCAACAGAACACATACCAATGCAGGGGTTCCGCACCATCAAGCCTCAAAGACAATTGCAGAAAAAAAGATGGCCCCAGATGGACAGGGGAGAAAAGCAGTCTGGGAGTATGCGGAGTCATGGCTACAGGGTAAAGTGAGGCCATGGCCACCTGTGGGCTACCAGGGTCTCAACCCACCCTAGAGCAAGGACACATGTAGGACCCAAAGGGAGAGTGGGCAGCCACCTTTGTGGGCTGCTGCCCCATTTTCACTTAGCTTCTCATCAGCCCCATCTGGGCCCCTGCATGAGTGTGCTGGGTGCGCCCAGCTTATATACCAGGGGGGCATGGTCAGGAGGGCAGCTATCCACTGCCTCTGTAGAAATTTCTGACACTGGGCCCAACGCAATAGTGTAGCAGCTAAAGTCTTCACCTTGAACGCTCCGGGATCCCATATGGGCGCCGGTTCTAATCCCATTGGCTCCACTTCCCATCCAGCTCCCTGCTTGTGGCCTGAGAAGGCAGCCGAGGACGGCCCAAAGTTTTGGGACCCTGCACTCTCATGGGAGGCCTGGAAGAGGCTCCTGGCTTCAGATCGGCTCAGCTCCAGCTATTGCGGCTGCTTGGGGAGTAAATCATCGGATGGAAGATCTTCCTCTCTGTCTCTCCTGCTCTCTGTAAATCTGCCTTTCCAATAAAAATAAATCCTTAAAAAAAGTTTCTGGCACCTTTCTCCCAGTACATCCAGTGCACTTTCCACCTTGTGCAGGGCTGCACCCCACTGTGTCAGCCCTGATAACCCTGATGGCCCCATTACCTTTTTCCTCTGACTCCAGGATTTCCTGCAGGACCAGGAATGATGTGGACTGCTTTGGGGGCTCATTCAACTCCTGCTTCTCCTGCAGCATCTTGTAAACTTCCGATTCTTTGTCGATGACGAGGCCGCCTGCAGGCTGTGGATGGTCTAAGCTGCAAAGAATGTTTGGTAACTCATTAGGCCCAGTGAAAAATCAAAGAAAACTTCACCACGCCCCTGCGCCCAGCAAAGACCCGAGACTTCTGCCCATGCCTAAAGAGTCTGCCCTCCGCGCTCTGGGGCTGTTTTTTTCCAAGGGTAATTCAGTGGCTTGGTGACCTTATCCATGGGACAGCAAGGCGCTACATGTTGCTCAGTCACACAAGCAACACCATCAGGAGAAAATTGAGAGCAAGGTGACCACTTGGCCATCAACTGAGCACCCTCGGTAGACCACATGCATTCTTAGCAGAAGTCAGGGGTCCCTCACTGGATCCCCTGCAGGGGCTTTCCTGGAAGCTCCTCTGAGTCCTTAGGACAGTCTGCTCAGACAACCTCGGCTGCCTCTCCTAGTTCCCAGGGCAGTGGCTAGGATGGAGCCCACAAGTGGTCTGTACGTTGCCACGCACCAAGCTGGGTACTGGGCAAGCTGCACCTTGACCCCCACAGCTGCCTCCTGTCACTCTAGGGACCCCAGAACAGGAGGAGAGTCACTACTGCGGGAACTGGCTCCCCTGGGCTCCAGTGGCAGGTGTCCCTGGCTGCCTGCTCACAAGGAAAGGTATAGTGTAGCCAGGAGAACAAGGCAGTCAACCTGATCTGGAGGCCTGGCCCAGCCCAGGATCAGAGCTCAGCAGCTACTACCAGCTGAGAGAACGGTCACCACGCAGTGACCACAACTGTTTGCCTCCTGCTCCTACTGACACACAGGGGGTCCCTAGAGTCACCTCCCAGGCTCTCATCATCTTCCGTTCACCTCAGCTGCTGCTTCACAAGCCCCCACCTGGCAGGGAAAGCATGCCCAGTGAAATCACAAGCCAACATCAAGTGAGCTGCTGGCAGTGCTGAAACCTGGCATGGAAGGGTGGGCTTCTGTGAGTTACCATCTCTGAAGATGAGACTGTATGCTTTCCAGCCTACCTGGCTCCCCCTGCCCCGAGCTTGCAGAAAATGAGCAGGTGCACAATGAATTAGATGTTCATTCACTTGCTTTCCACATTCCATTTCTTTGTAATTAGTTCACATTCCATTTCTAAAAGAAAACAGGTATATGTTTTCCCTGTGCAATTTTCGCTAAGGCTCCTCTCCCTTTCTTTCCTCCTCCTCTTCTCTACTGGGCAGCCAGAACTGTCTCCTGGGACCTTCAAGGGTGCAGATCCCCAGAGAAAAGCCATTACACAATGAAGACTCAGGCGACTCCCTCTGATTCCAACCTTGCTCCCACGATAAGAACATGCCTCCGACGAGTGCCAGGCTTTGCTGCCACCCAAGAAGGTGGAAACTGAAGCAGAAAGACCCATATCCAACAACTTGTCCATCCTGCCAGCTGTAGCTGGGGCAGGGAAGGTAGGCACCCTGTGTTCCAGGCGGGCTCCAGCTATCTTGGCTTCTGTTCCTCTCCCTCCACCTGCACACTGTGCGAGCCCCACAGAGGCAGGTGCTAGAGCCACACCGACTTGTTTTAACCATAGTCTTCCTCTGGCACACCACCTCAGGGTTGCATGTCTGACTTGGAACTTGACCTATTATAAATGTATTATACTATTTTCGACAAATCTTTTTTTCTATTACACTTAGAACTATTTTAAAGTCAGGAACAGACCATGGAATGTTCTTGGGAAGAATTTTTCTTCTTTGGGGTATGTTATGTCTGGAAGCTACCAAGGGAACACTAAAAATGACAAACCCAAACCACAGGATCATCACAGTCTTCCAACAAACAGCCCTGGAATGAATTTCTATGCTTAAGGGAGGAAAAAAGATAATATACTGCTTACTCTCATGGCCTAGTATTATGGTATAGCAGGTAAAATTGTCACCACCTGCAGCCCATGTGGCACAAGTTCACGTCCTACTGCTGCTCTTCTGATCAATCTCCCTACTAGTGATCTGGGAAGATGGCCAAAGTTCCCGGGCCCCTGCAGCCATGTGGAGAGACCTGAAAGAAACTCCTGGCTCCTGCCTTCAGCCTAAATGTTGCAGTCAGTGCAGCAGATGATCAATCAAAATCTGTCTCTCCCCCTTAACACTTTCAAATCAAAATTTTTTTTTAATTAGGCAGAAAAACAGGAGATATCACAGCAAACCCTGCTAATACCAAATGGTTACAAAAGGAGACACAGGGGCAGGCACTGGTCTTAACAGGAAGATAAAGCATTCCCCATATCCGAGTGCGAGTGCATGGGTTCAACCACCAGCTCCGCCCAGACTCCACCTCCCTGCTGACGCAGACCCTGGAAGCCAGCCTTGATGGCTCAAGTGGTTAGGTCCCTGAGTTCAAATCTCCTGGCTCTGGCTTGGCCCAGTCTTAGCAATTATGGGAATTTCCGATGAATGAGCAAATGGGACCATATGTGTTTATCTCTAGTATTTTTTTAAAAAGCATGATAATTTAGATGATATAAGCCAATTTCTTGGAAGCCTTATCTCTACAACTCATCCAAAATGAAATGATCACTTGAATAACCCTAAAGCCACTGAGCACATTATTGAAATAATTTTTAAATTACTCAAAAAGATGTCCAGTCTCTGATGGCTTAACTAAAGAATTTTAACAAACATTTTAAAGAACAAAGCCTGCACAAATTCTTGCAATAAAACAGAATACTTCCCAAATTTTTTATACAATTGAGCTTAGCCAAAAGGCCGAAAAGCAATGCCAACTTGTTTTATAAAACTAGTATCACCTGACACCAAAACTAGACAATTATGGTACCAAAAAAAGAAAACCACAGCCTAATATTCCTCATTAATACAGATGGAAAACTTCTGAGATTGTAAATAGAATTGAACAATATATAAAAAGAATGAAAGCCTACGACGAAGTACTTTATGAAAACAAAGCTGGTCTGATACTAATTAATCCATCAACATAATCACATCAAACTAAAAATACTAAATGTAATCCCCTAAATAAGAACAAAGTTCACTCTATCTGCATGTGACAATTTTCTACATAAAAAATTGCAAGTTACCAAGATAGGATTAGCAGGTGGATTTGATACATCAAAATAACCAAGCATATTCAGAATAACCAGAAATAACCAAAATGACCGAACAACCAAAATACATAACCAAAACACACAAAAAAACCCTGATATTATTTATGTTGCAATGAACACATGGATAACCAAATGTTAAAAACATTATTTACAACTGCTCAAAAAGATTTACCCTCCTACTTTGGTGTAAATTTAACACTCATTTATGGGATTCACATGCTGGAAAGAGAAAAATACTTAGAAGTTATAAGCTTCAAGTATATCAAGATGAGGAACTGGAAAACAGAAGTGTTCATTCTCTCCAAACTAATTTGCAGGTTCACCATGATTTGTATTAAAATTTCAGCAATATTAACATATACAGACAATATTATTCTAAAAGTCATATAAAAACAAGAACTAGAATGGTTCACTTTTTAAATATAAGAAAATGGTAAAAAAAAAAATAAGTTTTGTTATCCTTTCTTTAAAAGATGTGTCTTATTCATTTGAAAGGCAGACTTTCTGATGAAGACACACAGAGCTCTTCCATCTGCTGGGTCATTTCCCAAATGGTCGAAATAGCCAGGGCTGGACCAGACCACAGCCAGGAGCGTCTGTGGCTCTCCCACATGGCTGCAGAGGCCCAAGTACTGGGGCTGTCTTCCAGTGCTTTTGCAGGCTCATTAGCTGGGAGCTGGATCAGAAATAGAGCAGGTGGGACTCAAACTGGTGCTCATATAGGATGCCAGTGTTACAGGCTGAGGCTTAATCCATTATACCACAACACCAGCCACAAGATCTTATATAACTACAGCAATTAATGGAAAGATAAATACATCAAATGAACAGGACAGAGAACACAGAAATAAACCCTCATAAACATGCACAACTGTTATTTTACTAAAAGTGTGAAGAAAAGCAGTTTAATAGAGGAAAGATGGTCTTTTGGGCAAATGGCACAGTGATGATCATATTACTACCTCATTTACAAATTAATTTAAAATGCATCAAAAACCTCAATGTAACAAGTTAAACTAGGTGGGGCTGCTACCCACAATGCCAGCATCCCAGGTGGGCATGCTAGTCCTGGGTGCTCCACTTGCAATACAGCTCCTTGCTTAATGGCCTGGGGAAGGCAGCAAAAGATGGCCCAAGGGGCCAGCACCACAGCACAGCAAGCTAATCCTCTAAGCTGCAGCGCTGGCATACCCTATGTTGCTCTGTTCATGTCCCACCTGCTCTACTTCCGATCCACCTTCCTGCCTGTGGCCTGGGAAAGCAGTAGAGGATGGCCCAAGTCCTTGGGCCCCTGTATGCATGCAGGAGATCTGGAAGAAGCTCCTGGCTCCTGGCTTTGGAGTGGCTCGGCTCCAGCCACTAGGGCTACTTGGGGAGTGAGCCAGTGGATGGAAGATCTTCTCTCTGTATAATCTGCCTTTTTAAATAAAAAATAAAGTAAATCTAAAAAATAGAAAAGATCAACAGATTGAAAAGGTAAGTAATAAAATGGAGAATATGCCTGAAAATCATGTATCTAACAGTGGTCTAATCTCCAGAACATAAAGAACTCCTACACTATGGCCTAGTGGCTGTAAGCTATGGCCTTAAGCCAGCACCTGCATGGCCATTATCCCGTGTGAGAGTCGGTTTCAGTCCCAGCCGTTCCACTTAATGAAACATGGCCCAATCCTTGGACCCCTACCACCCACACGGGAGACCCAGATGAAGTTCCTGGCTTCAGCCTGGCCCAGCCCTGGTAGGGACAGCCATTTGGAAAGTGAACAAGGCCGACAAGAGATGGCTCACTCTCTCTGTCTTTCAAAACCATAAAAAAGTTATCTTCTACAACAAGAAAAAACTCAATGTAAACATGTACAAGGCACTTGAACAGACATTTCTCTAAAAAAGTTAAACAAATGTCCAATAAACATAAGATATTCATCATTAAACATCTCAGATATGTTAATAAA